CGGGGAGAATTCACAGAGATAGCAGCAACAACGCAGTACAACAGCAGCAAGCAGCACAGCAACAGCTCAGTAGCACCAGCAAGCAGAGCAGCAGCAACAGCAAGCAGCAGGGCAGTGAAAAGGCAGTCAGCAGCAGTAGAGGCGAGTAAAAGGGCAGCAGCGACTGCGTCAGGTGTTGCACGGGTTGTCGCGGATCTCGCCCGGTCTCTTCCCGTGAAGCCGTGCATGCACGTGCACATGTACGTGCGTGTGATTGTGTGTATGCGTACGTGCGTGCGTGCGTGCATGCGTGTGTATGTATAGGCGTTATTCGAGTCTCTGCATGTGTAGGAAGGAGTACATGACATGCAAATACTCTCCTTTCCCTTTCCCTTTGACATCTTTTTCGCCTTTGATACATGCACTACTAATTTGATACGATAGTGAGACACGATTGTGGTTGGTGCTCGGAGACACTAGTAAGTAGGGGGACAAGTGTGGGAACGTGGGCAGGAATTCGAGGTTCACGGCTGTCGTCTGCCATAAACTCTTCTCTCCCCTATAATCATGCAAATTTTTTTCTGGCAACCTCCCGCACTCATTGTCTCGATCCCCCCTGATAAACTGGTTTGCAAGAGCGAACCAGTTGTGTTTTGATCTTTGCAAACGTCAAGACAACCCTCACATCGTCCCTACAATTTTGCCTTCTTGTCATTGCGTTCGTTTGTCCGCTGGGAGGCGGGGAAGAGGAGAAGGTCGGGTAGGGGAGGGGAGGTGCAGCGTGCGTCCGTGCTCATTGACAGCAGGGGTAAATTAGGTATTGTAGTTCTTGTTCTCCCCACGGCAGGGTCCGTGTAGTGCGCACGGAATTATTCATTGAAGTTATGTTATTAGCATCTCATTAAGAGCGCATGAGCTATTTAAAAATACACTGGAGATATACACTCGACGACACACATATAATACACACATACATACTTATAATACACACATAATAAATAATACATAATACACATACACATACACAAATACACGCATATTTAAATAATACACAATACACACATACACAAATACACGCATATTAAATAATACACAATACACACATACACAAATACACGCACATTAAATAATAAACAACACACACATACACAAATACACGCATATTAAATAATACACAATACACACATACACAAATACACACATATACCCAAATACACACATAATAAATAATACACACATACGCAAATACATGCATAATAAATAATAAATAATACACACATACGCAAATACATGCATAATAACAAGGTGTTTATTAGCTCTTGATAATAAATAATACACACATACGCACGCACTAAAGCGCGCGCACACACATCGTATACAGATAAATAATTTATGCGATTTTTATCGGACACGCTCCCCTACCACACTTGCCCTAATTCTAACTGTTATTCAATGTTGTTCAAGCAAAAAATCGCTTTTCCCGTAAAATTTCCCTGTCTTGTTTCCAAAGTGTTGAGATTGGTAAAGTAAAGTTATTTGTATCTTTAAAAACTTCTTAGTTGATATTTGTTGAAATCGAATTTTCCACCCCTTTCAATAACGTGACGGTCCCTCAAGTTGCGCCGCATCTATTGTTTCGTGCATAGCGTAATTTGCGCTGATAGGGTCTATGTCCCCCAGGGTAGGCTGCCAGAACGTACCCTGGTACTAAATACTACTATCTAATATGTCGGACCGTAACTCACCTACTCCACTAACGAGTCTAGGGAGTCGCCTACGCCTACTGCCTAATCCTAACCTTAACTCTAACCCTAACCCTAATAAGCCTAACCCTAACCCTAACCCTAACCCTAATCAGCTAGATAGTTACCAGGGTACGTTCCGGTATACCGGACCGTACCCAGGGTACGTTCCGGCAGTACACTGGGGGACATAGACCCTATAATCGTAACTTGCATGTATGGTGGTAAACCAGGGGGGTCCGAGTCACCATGGCAATGAAGCCAGGTTTCCGGTCAGGCGACGAACAGGTGGCCCATGTGTAGTTGTGTAGTCGTGCCAGTGGAGACGATTTATAATATATTGCGTGTCCTACAAGCTGTCATTGTGTCATATCATGTTATATTGTGTTATATTACTTATATATTATGTGGTGTGACTGCGAGCGTCCAGGAACGCAATAATTTAGCTTGACAAAATTGTGATTGTAATACGCGAGTTTTGAAGTTACTATACAGTATACTGTGCAGTGATTACTTCATCTCAAAACACAAGAAGTTGACATAACAAGCTTGATTATAATGCGTGAGTTTTATGCAGTTCAAAGACATATGACTTATCTATGCTGAAAGCCAGCTCAGCATCAATCTTCAACCAAAACCAAAAGCAGCATCAGTCCAGCTCATCATTACTCGCACAATCAGCAATACGTTACGCAGAGACTGTGTGAACTATTGCTGCTTATTTTACTTCTACCACAGGCATGCAGAAGCAGTGCAGGTTACTGAAATGTGGACTACAAACTGTGATCGATAAACTACGAACTGTGAACTACAATATGTGAACTGTGAACTACGATCTGTGAACTACGAACTACGAACTGTGAACTACAATATGTGAACTGTGAACTAAAATGTTGAAATATGAAATACGAACTGTGAACTACAATTGGTGGCAGTAGAAACCTTCGTGAAAGCGGCGGCACGTGATGGAATGCGCACATTTCAAGGTAGGGCAGATATTTTATCGTTTTATTTCATGTCAATGTCCTTTATATCAGGACTACAATCGCAATGCTACTGTTTAAGTTGTTAGATGGTGTGTTGATGAAGCAGCTTTGAACTATGATTGGCATTTGATACATTGATGTGTGATGTTTCGTTTCGCAAACAGTCATCAGCGTTTTGCGAATCCGCGGTGAAATTCGCTCCCATGTAATAATATGTGTATTGATGGTTAGAATTACTGGGTTCAGTGATCTTTGGTGTGGCAAGAGGTTAGGATTCTGCCATACCAGAGTGTAATTCCATGCTAGGTTTACGAACAACTAACAGCACTATGTATAGCTGTCAGTATACACTGTGTGTATACACTGTATAGCTGTGAGTGATATCTTCCAAGAAACTCTATGGAATGTCGTTTAGTTCAAATGTACAGACAATAACAACTTTCCCCTGAGGTAGAGGTGAAGTTGGCACAAGAGAGCATATCCAGTAATAAACATCATCCTATCCAATCACCGTCATGGACATCATCTCTATCCTTGAACCGTTCGGGGTCTGATTAGCTAGTTCTTCTCCTGAAGCGATTTACTGCAGGGTTGTTTGTCTCTTCGTCGGGCTTGTATGATATGTTGTTGGTGTGATTACGTGGGTTTATTTGTTGTCTATTCTCTAATAGCATTCCAGTGACGTACTCACCTTGTGTATACTTTCTTGTTGTATTTAGAGCGGGAATACAGGGAATATCAATGCCGTGTTACTGCATGTGCAATGCGCGAGAGGTAGACGTGAATAAGTGACATTTGAAAAGAGAGATGTCACATAATCATATACAAATTGCATAAGAAAAGACACAAGTGTCATATCAAGAGACAGACGTGACGTATGAAATAACAGAAATGAAACGTTGAAGGAAAAAGTAACAAATGAAAAAAAAGAAACGAGTGACACATATAGGACACGTCAGCGGCAAGGGCTACTGATGGAGACGAACATGAGGCATGACATTGGTCTTCACTTGGTTGACATATCTATTGTATGCGCCGCGGTTGTAGCACGGATTAGGGTGACATGGTTTCATGGAGGGCCAATGCGCGAGCGATAGAAAGAAGTGACAAGTGTAAATGCCTAAAAGGCAAACGGCTATTAAAATTCAACAGGTATGGCATGACGTAGCATCACAAGGTAAGGCTCTTTATCTGTTTACATACCTGTTACATATATGCATACTGTGCATGTTTCGGCACGGGTTAGGGTGACATGGTTCAGATAGAATGTTCGTTCGTAAAAGATACAAAGATAGTAGGGCTTATTAAAACTTGTAGACTTGACGCAGTATGTATGGTATACTAGTATACTTGCTACCTGTCGCGGCGTACCTGTTGCATGCGCCGCGGTTGCGGCACGGGTTAGGGTGACAGGGCTGGTACAGAGTTTCGCAGTGATCTCCCACGAACTTCCACGGACACGTGCACGTGTACAGGCCCACGCCTGCAGCCTGACAGCGCCCTCCGTGCCTGCAGGGGAACTTGGCGCACGCGTTCTCCGAGGATCCGCGTAGCACACCTGCGAATGTCACACACGAATGTTGTTTTAATAAATGCGAACGTATATAATTATATGACACGCGTGAGCGTTGGCTGCCCTGCGGTGTAGTTGATTCTCGGACCCATTCCTCTCACTCATAATTTAATGTGGCTCTCTGTAGCTCTCAGCCCCTCTCCTCGTGTATGTCGCCTTTCCGTTCCCCTCACCTTCCTCCTTCCCTCTCTTCCTTCCTCCTACCACCTCTAGCTTCCTTCCCTCCCTCTCCGCTGCCCTCCCTCCCTCCCTCCTTCCCTTCCCGTTTTAAACTTTAGAGCTATGTAGTACCGCGTGATGCACCAAAACTATGCAACGGCTGTAATAATTCACAAACCTCCCACTCTTTATTACACGCGAGAAACTCTAAAATCTTCCCATTGTGTTTCGTTAAAACACCTACGGGTATTAGCAGTGATCTTTTGGTTCCGGGTTATACATTGTGTACAGTCATGTTGCGGAGAATGCACATTGTAAGCATGTAAATATGGCTAATGCGATGCGTAATGTATATATATATCAAGAATAGATAATAACACATTGTGTTATTATCTACTCTTGATATATATATATATATATATATATGTGTGTGTGTGTGTGTGTGTGTGTGTGTGTGTGTGTGTGTGTGTGTGGTGATGTGTGTGTGTGGGTGTGTGTGTGTGTGGTGTGTGTGTGTGTGTGTGTGTGTGTGTGTGTGTGTGTGTGTGTGTGTGTTGTGTTGATGTTGTGTGTGTGTGTGTGTGTGTGTGTGTGTGTGTGTGTGTGTGTGTGTGTGTGTGTGTGTGTGTGTTGTGTGTGTGTGGTCGTGTGTGTGTGTTGCGTAGAGGTTACGATGCAGTGGCGTAGCTAGGATTTTTTTTCAGCGGGGGGGGGGGGGCACTGGGGGGGGCCTTACATTTTCGTGGGGGGGGGCACAATACTATAATTTTACTGAGCTTGTAGTCGAACCCCTCTTTCTTTGTATTATACTGTCTGACACGGCATTGTTTTAATTCAATTTTTTTTTTATCAAGCATGAAATTTTTAGTGAGGGCACCTGGGGGGCACAAAAAATTTGTGGGGGCCCTCGTAGCTACGCCGCCTGTACGTATGTGGCGTGCTGCATAGTCAAGTGGGATCGAAAACTATTTATGGCACTGTGGTCATGAATTTGCTATTAAACCATCCGGACCGAAGGTTATAAACTTGTAAAACGTATAAGATATATTTTACCGAAGCGGGGGTGGCCCCATCTGATCGGCAGCGAAGAGTGAGGTGCCCATGCACTAACCACTAACTGTAGTACAGCACATAACCACATATATATATATATATATATATATATATATATATATATATATGCTATGTAGAGCGGTGCATAGTGTCATTACAACGGTTTATTCCCATTTCGCCATTTGCCATTTCGCCATTTGCCATTTCGCCATTTCCTGTTTCGCCATTTTCCCATTTCGCCATTTTCCCACTTCGCCAGTATCCCACTTCGCCAGTTTCCCATTTCGCCAGTTTCTCATTCCGCCATTTCGTCCTATCTCCCCGACCACCCCCTTGTTCGAGGTGGGTTAAAAGTAGGCCTCTGTAATGAATAAATTATAACGAATCTTTAGATATGGAGTCAACTATTTATTTGAAGAACAAGAGGGCGAAATCGTACATATCAAAACATATGGATCATGTACGGGCACCCTAACCCTAAATTACCCTAACCCTAACCCTAACCCTACCGACCTAGAAATTACTCTTTTTTAATAATGGAAGGATCAATTTCGTGCAGGGGGTGGAAGCAACATAAAATATTGGCGAAATGGGAAACTGGCGAAATGGGAAAATGGCGAAATGGGAAAATGGCGAAATGGGAAACTGGCGAAATGGAAAAATGGCGAAGTGGGAAAATGCCGAAATGCGAAACTGGCGAAATGGCAAATGGCGAAGTGGGGTTATGGCGAAATGGGGTGACACCATTACAACAGGAGTGAAAGAAAACAACTTTATTTTTTATTCACTCCCGATTATATTGTTACACTGTCACGCGTGTTAGATTGTCACGCATATGTAATACATTGTTACACCACGCGTATTACGTTGTTATAGCTTGGTTTTACTGTACCTTCAATAGTATTAACGAAACTTCAATGCTATCAAATTATAAAATCAGGATGGCGATATAGGTGCCAGCACAAACAGGCTAGAGAGCTAATCTAGCAAACAAGCAAGTAAACAAGCAGATGAGCTCTGTTTTTAAGATGCGGACGCTAGAGTCGGCATATACCTTGATTTGTAGCTTTTCTTGATTACTTTACTAGCGCTCCCGACGTGCTCGTATTCACAGCACAATGGTTTATATACGTTCATAGTGGGGGGCATGATGGCAGATGTTTAACCACAATCCTTGTGGATGTTCGCGTGCTCGGAAATCCGACTGGATAGTATTTATAAAGGCCTTACGGGCCGGACACACTAGGCGACTTTATCGCCCGATTCTATCGCGCGAATCGAGTGGACACATCACGCGATTTTTGACGGCGAGTTCCAACTTCCTTATGTACGCTCTTGATATTATGATCCCTAATAGCAAGACTAATGTTCACAAGTCTATGTACCACGAAGTGGTATGTGTATAGGTATGTACTTACAAACTGTTTATGTAACATTCTAAAAAAAAAGTTAAAAAAAAAAATTTAATCGGGCGACTAAATCGGGCGACTAAATCGGCGGCGACTGACTGGACACACCAGTTAGGCGATTTTCACCGGCGATTGAGTTGCCCGACTGAGTCGCCCGATTAAATCGCCTAGTGTGTCCGGCCCTTTAGGGGGTGGCATAAAACATCATATCCTTGATATATCGAGCTCATGCCGTCCCCCCCCCTCCGGTCACGCCCAGATATATTATAATATTGATTTATCATAGCCACTATATAACTAGCACTTAAGGTTGTCTGCTGCGGTTAAATAACCCAAAGAAACCTAATGGTATTTATATTTTTCGGATGGGTTATTTTTCGTTATTATCATTCAATCGAGTTACGTAGCATGAAGATGATTGCTGTTTCAAGCCTATTCTTCTTTACCTTCCAGTTCTACAGCAGATCGTATTTTATACGCGAATATGACCAAATTAGTTCCAGCAAAAATAGATTACGACGATTTTTCTAATATTGGTTTCAGCTATTGGCAACGCTTGAATGCATGTTTGGCTCGCTCGCACAATAAATATAGCCTACCTATCACAACCTCCCTACCGTGCCTTACCAACTCCTTATCCTCTCTAACTCATAACCACCCTTACTTTAGATTCCTACCCTGCCTTACTCTTAATCTTCCCTAACTTCTAACCACCCTAACATTAGATGCCTACCCTGCCCTACTCCTTATTCTTTTTTACCCCTAACCACTCCAACGTAACCTCTCCTCATTTCCTAACACCCTATCCTCACTAGCCTAACCTTTCTAACATGATGCGCGCAGTGTTTAATGTGGAACTACGTAGCTGTGGGGCACAGTATCATGCTGACTGCGTGACGGGTTTGAGCTGGGTGGAAATCCCTGTGAATGTTTGAGTGATGTTGACGGAAGTTCAGAACGGTAGTTAGCAGTTGACAGAAATTGAAAGAAAACTTTTTTTCGAGAAAACGCTTGCACTTTAAATGTTTACTCTTCCCCTTGCTCCCCATGTTCATACATCGTAGTGCTTGATATGACGACTAGTAATATAGAATGTAAAATATAGTGATAGTGGTTACTCACCCCGAGGTAGACCAGCTGACTTGCTGACATCACTAGGAGCAGCAGAGATGCATATAAACAGCGATGCCAAAATCCAGCTCCATATCCTGTCGACAAAGATAAGTATGTGCTATTTCATACACACGAGCGAGACTGCAGTTCGAGATTCGAATAGAATGAATTAATTAATACACGAACAAACGAACGAACGGACGGACGGACGGACGGACGGACGAACGAACGGACGGACGAACGGACGCACGAACGAACGAACGGACGAACGGACGGACGAACGAACGGACGAACGAACGAACGAACGAACGAACGGACGGACAGACGGTCGCACGGACGGACGGACGGATGGACAGACGGACGGACGGACGAACGAATGGACGGACGGATGGACGGACGGACGGACGGACGGACGGTCGCACGGACGGACGGACGGACGGACGGACGAACGAACGAACAGACGGACGGACGAACGAACGGATGGACGGACGAACGAACGAACGGACGGACGAACAGACGGATGGACGGACGAACGAACGAACGGATGGACGGGCGGACGGACGGACGGACAGACGAACGGACGGACGGACGGATGAACGAGCGAACGAATTGACGGACGGACGGACGGACGACGAACGAACGGACGGACGGACGGACGAATGGACGGACGGACGGACGGACGACGAACGAACGAACGGACGGACGGACGACGACTCGACACGGACGGACGGACGGACGAATGGACGGACGGACGAATGGACGGACGAACGAACGAATGGACGGACGGACGGACGGACGAATGGACGGACGGACGAATGGACGGACGAACGAACGAATGGACGGACGGACGGACGGACGAATGGACGGACGGACGAATGGACGGACGGACGAACGAACGAATGGACGGACGGACGGACGGACGAACGGATGGACGAACGGACGGACGAACAGACGGATGAACGGACGAACGAACGGACGTACGGACGGACGGACGGACGAACGAACGAATGGACGGACGGACGGACGGACGACGAACGAACGAATGGACGGACGGACGGACGGACGGACGACGAACGAACGAACGGTCGTACGGGCGGACGAACGGACGGACGAGCGGACGGACGAACGGACGGACGGACGGACGGACGGATGAACGAGCGAGCGAATAAATGAATAGACGAATGACACTCCTATTCGTCCACGTAACTTTTGCTGCGGTAAATGGTTCATATGTGTGTCTGTAAGCGAATATGATGTGTAGTGATCATTCACCCACCTAAAAACACGACAGAAACGATGCTTGCGAGCGCACGCACCAAAAAAAAATAGTGGCCGTCGATACAAACAAAATCACAAAGTGAAACAATCTCGTTCACGGCTATCCACCGATGATTCATCTCCCCTCTCTATCGCGTTCGGCCATCTCTCCTCGGCACGCTATTCACACCGTGTCGTACACAACGTTGTCGTGTCATCTCGACCTCGCGCCGATTGTATCTAGCATTCATTCACACGCGCCGCAGCGATGATGCGAGTGGCTACGACAGCGAGTTTTGATGCGAGTAATCACGGAAGTTGTTGTATATGCAGTGTGAGGTCAGCGATGTTATAAATGTAGGGTGCTTACAGTGAGCTCTAGCCAACGAGCGTGTGCATCGATGTCCTCTATACATCTATCCACGTGTAGGTCTATAAATCTATGCATCCATCCATCTATCTATACAGCTACATGTCTATTATGTGTATATTGAGTCGCCGGGGTGGTACGGGTACCGCTGGTCTGCAGTACTCACCCGAACAAACGAAATTAATTAAGGGAATTTAAATTTAAATACATGTAATCATTGCGGCTCGCACTAGTTGCGCTGTAAATTGATGTTGCTGCTCCCCCTGCGCGCGCTCTCGCTCTCTCTCTCTCTCTCTCTTTCTCTCTCTTTCTCTCTCTCGCGCGCTCTCTCTCTCTCTCTCGCGCGCTCTCTCTCT